GACCAGGTCACGGTCGCTGCAATGGATGCGGTGTAGAAGGGAATGGACCAGATTGCGGAACAGGGACCCAACCGCACGGGGGGAAATCTCACTGATACCCGGGACGACTTCTGCGCCCTCCTTACCATCCTCCTCACCATCCTCCTCTTCTTCATCCACATATCCCGCATCTTCTTCCTCATCGCTGTCTTCCTCCTCCTCCTCATATTCCTCACGCTCCTCATCTCTCTCATAGTCATCCTCTTCGTAGTCCATCTCATCCTCTTCGTCGTCCACCTCTTCATCCATTTCCTCATCATTCTCAATGTCCTCCTCTTCTACCTCATCCTCCTCTTCTATCGGCTGCACATTCCAGAAGTAGTTCTCGATCGGCTGGGCGCCCTCCAGCACTTCTTCCTCCTCCTCCTCCTCCCAAACGGCTTGAACTACCGCTTGGAAATCCCTAGGGGATACGTTCCTGCCGCCCCTGGCACGCCGTTCTGCAGTCCCTAGTCTTCCCCTGACTGAGTCAGGGCCTCGGCCCATCCCACTACCGACTCTGTTCTGACTACCTGCGGCTAATCTTCGCTTCTTTGTGGCAGGCATGACAGGAGAGATGCCCCAGTCAGCGCCTCAGCCGGAGAAGTGATCTAGCTGGAAACGGAGTTGCCAAAGATGGCGGCAGCCAAGCTGACCGTTGCCGTTGGCACAATGCCTGCTGGGATATGGTGCGCGCGGCAGAGAAAACGGCCGCAGGCAGGGTAACAGTCTGTGATGGCGCCTGTGGAGCCCTCGTGACTTGCGGGCATGGGGGGAGGGGCGGGGGATGGGACGGTCAGAGGACCAGCCAATCAAAACTGTACCTGAGACAGCGTTCGAACAGGCGGGAAAGAATCTGATGGGCAGGTGATGGGAGGCGGGGCTTGGAACGGTCAACAGAGAACTGCTTCCCACCCTCGCGAGCTCTAAGCTTATTTGCTTAAAGGAGGTGATTGGCGTGCCTGGGGTTCAATGAGTTTTCAAGACCCTCTGCTTCTAGAGTTTGGGTCCTACCTCCCTTTCCTTAAAGGACCTTAGACTCTCGGGTTATCCTTTAAGCCAATGAGTATCTTGGCTTTTTGATTTTACCTTACCAGCAAAACTAAAGTGTTCCAATGTAGAGGCACCCATGCTGCAAAGGGTGAATTGTTCCCCAAATTCCACCAGGAGATGGCTGGTGTCAATAGGGGCAGAGTCATTAAAAATTCTATAGTTCGTATCTCAGCAATAGTAAAAACCCACCAGAAGAGAAAGAAAAAAAGAATTTAGACGTTTTAACATTGTTAAAGCTACTTAGAAAAAATACAAAGTTGCAATGAATGCAGTAAGGACAGAAATTTGAAAAAAGTGTTAAAAACAGGAGCTGGAAGGTATTTAATGAACACTACTGAATTTGAAAGGAGCAGGACCCTGCAGGATCTTCCCAGTTACAAACATCCCCCCCATCCCCTTCCCCTCCACACCTCTTGTTTGTAGAAAAGCTTTAGCCTCATAAGCCTATCCTAAGTTCCAAAGAGAAAATTTAATCAGAGAAGTAAGAAAATCAGAAACGAAGGAAAACAGTCAAGCAAGAGAAAATAATATTAGTTTAGCCAAAAAAAAAAAAGTCATAGACCCTTAGTTCCTCCTCAAGGGCTCTAGATAATATTCTGAGCAATACCCTTGAGTTGTTTTACAGAGACGAAAACCCCCACCAGGTGGAAGAAGTTAACTGCATGCTGACTACAAGCAAGTAGACCCCAGACCCGTTGAAATCAAGTTGATGTTAACTCCTAAAACACCACCCTATTACCCCACCACCAGCCAAGCAGAATAATGTCCACGAGCTGATCGCACACTCCACTACCCTATCCCTCACCTTTCCTTTAAAAACCCTTCCCTGAAAGCCACTTGGGAGTTTGGGTCACTTGAGCATTTGCTGCCCTTACTCCTTGCTTGGCACCCTGCAATTAACACTGTATTTTCCTTCACCATAACCCGGTGTCAGTGGACTGGCTTTGTTGCTCATTAGGAGAGCAGACCCAAGTTTGGGTCAGTGACATAATCAGTTCAATCTTCCAAAGAATGAACAAAGAAAGAGAGATACTTCTTTTAAAGGACCAAGCTAAGCATGATGCACATTAAAAGGCAGGCTTCCCAGAATGAATTCTGAGTCAACAGTCCAAAACTTTTTGTTGCATTCAGCCCCGCTTAGCCAAGATTTCAAGTGTAAGTAATTCTTAAAATTAGGAAGAAATCAGTAGCTATTTTAAAATGGTTCAATTTAACATTGTTACTGGGCACGAAGCACCATAAGTATTCCCGGCGAATCCTCTTGGTTCAGTCATGCTCCTCCCTATCCACATGATGTAGCAACAGCTCAGATCTCTGCATGGTAGTCAAGGTTAAATTGCCCCAACAATATATAAAACTCCTTTCTTTGCCTGTTGATTCACAGCCATAAGGAGCCTGAGGTAATCAGATGGTAGCTGTAGCTTGAAGTTCAGTAGAACCCCACCCATATCCCTTACCAAAAGCAGTCTCTCAGGACTCAGACCCTAAAGTTTCAGGAATGGGAAGCACACGTCCTGCAAGTGTGCCTCAGGGAATGCCGGTGAGAAGAGCTGCAGTAGCCGCTCCAGAAAGAAAGGGTGGACCCTATGCCCCCAACTAAAATTTGCTTCAGGTGTCAAGACTGTTGACACCAAGCATATACATACTAAGAAGGTATGACAAGGTTTATTGCTTACATAATAAGGCTTTCAGGGAAGAACAGGGAAGCCTTCCCAAACTAGTCTGAAGCTGGTTTGAAAGAGTGGGAAAGGAGACTGGCTTTAGGTTTGTTTGTTTTTGTTTGTTTGTTTGTTTGTTTGTTTGTTTTGGTTAGGAGATGGGGCCAAGGTGAGGGTTCCGATGCAGAGGTAGGGGCTTGCATGGTTTGTACCTCCTGCTGGCTTCCAGAAGAGATTATCTGGGATTTCTTGTCAGCTTGCCCAGATGTGGAGTGGAGGGAAAGAGGGAGGGCTGAGGCCTAAAAGTCCTCAGCAATCACTCAGCATGAAGTGAAATTAGACTCATGTTTACAGCAGCCAGTATGATTTTCACCCCTTGGTTCCCAGATGCATATACACTAGATGTGGGGACAAGGCCTCAAATAGCAGGTTTTGATTCAGTGCATATACCAGAGCCTGGAGGAATGTGCCCCAACTATGCAGTGTGTTGTACCCGAATGGATGCATTAGCTGAGCTGCTCCATCTGGTGGAATTAAGTCAAATACAAAGGAAATGTTGTTGTTCATATAGACTCTACCCTGAGTGTACCCTAAGGCCAGTCTGTTATCCATTACAATATTACAGGGAAGTTTAAACTGATTTTTCTGGACTTCCAGAGCTTGTGCCATCACATTGGCTGTGATAGCTAAAGATAAGTTTCTGATCATTGTCTCTAGGGCATGGACGTTGATGCCAGGGGTATGGAACCAGGAATCAATGTATTGTCGGGTAGGACAGCCCTCTTTGACCAGTGTCCCAACAAATGGTCCAAGAGGTGGTGTCACTTCCAATAATTATAGGGGACAATACCTAAATTAAAACATCACCCTTATTCCCAAAGAAAAGATGTTCTGTGGCCTACACCCCAACACATATAAGTATATAACCCAAAGGGGCTTCTTACACTTGATTTAGATCATCTTTATATTGGTTTGGTAAAGCCACATGGGCAGTGTCACTGAGTCAATGCAACTTCAATATCTATAGACACCACTGGTGTCAGAGTTGCATTAGGAGAACTGTGTAGATTTGTATCAGTAATACTGAAACAAGGTTGTTCTGGTCAGTGTTTATATGAGGGGTTCAAATTTGATAGACATGGCCATAGGAGATTTTCTGTTCCCATAGCTTGTGGATGGAACGACAAACTTCATGTGGTTCAGTCAGCTGCTGCTGCCACTTGACTAAAGTGGACCATGGAGATAATTGCCAAACTGTGGTGCTGGACCCAGGGGATGTAAAGCCCATTCCCCATCCCTGCACCTGCCAGGGTATAAGGAGCTCCACTCCAGACACTGAGCTTGTTGCTTTTCTTCCACGGCTTCATAGTCTACTTGTCCTAATTCAGTAATCAGTACCTCTCCCACTGACCCAGTCATTTCCCACCTGTACCCAGACCTATCCAGATGTGCCAGGAGTTACATGAGCTTTGCACAAAGGTAAAACTTTCCATGGTCCATGATGTCCCTTCTTGCTGCCTGAGTGAGCCACCACAAAGGTAATATAGGTTTCAGAAATTCCATCAAGAGGTCATTATCCTTGTGATCTGTGACTCACATTGTCCATTGACTGAAGCCAGGGGATAGTGGAAGCAATAAGTTGGAGTCACTGTCACCTTGTTGTGTGACTAAGGTGATTGAAGGGAAAAAAGAGGAATGATTGGGGATGGTCAGTGTGGAATCACTGGCACAGAGAGCTGGTCTCCCTGTTCTGACATTCCTCAAGCATATATTTAGAAAGGGAATCTTCCCTTGCTGGCAACAGCCTCAAATAGTGACCATTACAGTCTTACTGTTATATCTAGTCAGGCAATGATTCTGGCAACACGGCCTGTCCAGCAATCTTTTTAGCCTGAGCGTAGAAAGGGGTATGGAATACCCATTAAATGTCATACCCACCAGTGCATTGTTGAGCCTCCTTCACTGTGAATGGCTTGCATTGAAAGATTATAAGCGGCCAAAAACGTGGCAGAATTTAGAATCTGCTCCTCACACTAGAATGGCAACTTCATAGCCAGAATAGGTTTCAATGGCTGTTAGACACCGAAAGTAGCCACAAGATGGCAGCAGAGGATGGACGTAGTCACATTACCAGGAATGGGCAGAGCTCAAGGTCATGCTCGTGCTACCTGCTATCTTTTGAGCCCATTTGATTCTGGTGGCAGGGCCACTTGCCCAGTCTGATAATAAATCATCCACCATGAATTCATACAGACATCTAGGCTGCTAGCCATAGCCCAGGAGCCAGGGGAAATACAGCATGCCTGCTCCTTAAGAGCATTGTCTAGGGCAAGGATGGCAGCTTATAATTTGGCCTGTGGTCCTGACAGGCCCTCACTGCAGTGGGTCCGTTATGGTTGTTCATTGAAGCTGAATGACTGTTGATGCCCAGTGATGCTATTAGCTTTTATTTTGGTAACACCACCAGTAATTGTGCATTGAAGCACAATGTCTGGAATAGCCAGAGCTACAGGGGCAATAGCTAAACTCAGTTGGCAATAATAAAAATCCACCATACACCTCTAGGTCTCATTAGCCTTTTTGATTAGACTCTCAATGCTGTAGTCTTGAGATAGAGATGATTTCAATACCTCTGCTGCCTTTAAGTCCTTCAACAAGATTTTGATTACTTTTTCTGCAGTATAATATGAGGAAAACTATAAGTCTGTCAGTGGTTTTGGTGTAATCCTCCCACCATTACCACTCTACAAAGGGCTCTTCACAATTGGGAGAGTCTCTCTTTAGGTCTTATGAGCATTCACAGTACATGCACTTACAGCATCAATAGCAATTATACACAAAGCAGTAAGAGTAACAGTGGTGGTGCATAAAAGGGGTTTAAAAGGCCCTACCCAGATGATTATGGTTAATTCCCCTGCCCATTTTACTTCACTTCCAAATCCAGCCCTTGCCCCTCCAGAGAGCTGGTAAGACAGTTA